GCGTCGTATATACTAAGACTGTAGAACGCACCTACTTTTTTCATTCTGGGGATTTCAGTCTTAAAGCGGCACTTTAACAGACAGGCTTTTCGGAATCAAACCTTGTTCGTTCATTCACATGTAGTGACAAATGCACCAACGGAAGAGGACGCTTTCCGATCAAAAGAATAATTAGAATGATGCATTGCATCAAACTTACCAGGAACTGCCTTACCCATCGGTCATCGACCACCTTAGTGGAACTGTTCACATCGTCATTCACTTGTCCGAGCGACCAGTGAAATACCATATGTTCAGTGGTTACAGTCGATCATCTGCATCAGAAAGATTATACGTGACTGCCATAATATCATCTCGATGAACATTTTCCTAACTGCCACGTTTTCACCCAGGTCTTTGAAAATTTCTTTTCACCTAAAACTGACCTTTCAAAAAATACTGTCGTATGGACATATTGGTTCTCTCACAGAATGTACTGTAATTGAGAAAACTGTTATTCGTTGGCTTTGTCCAAAGTAAAGTCAGGCAAACTCATAATAGATTTAGGCAATTTTCAGACTGTTCAGATATACTCTATAAAAAAACTATCGTCAGGTTGAAAGTGTGTTGAGTGACAGTCCTATCCTGCATGTTCATCTGCAGTGCTTCGAAGTAGTAATTCAATATCAGATCTTCTGTTTGCCCTCGCCGTATGTGAATTAACTTGGAAAATGGATGGCGTTTGCTGGATTTCTGATCGTATGTGGCTTATGGGGGAACTTTTTACGCTACAGAAAATGTGGAAAAAATTAGTTCGTGAATTGGCGCCATCCTCTAAGTTTCATTGTTTGCGAAGCTCTTTTTTCACACGTTTGAAGAATGCTGTTTGGCGATCTAGCTTTTGCCTGAATTTCCGTTGTTGTCGACTGAAAACAAGACTGGTTTATTCATTGCTAAAGTACTGGCGCCTCTTGCTCTGACCTAGCTCTTCCTGGCTTTGTTTGATGATTTTCAAGCAGCAGGAACTAAAAGCTTCGATGCTGTGAATGCCACCTTTAACCCTCAGCTATTTACATGGCACAATTATTCAGTGGCTTCCACCAAAAGATGTTTTTGCCAAACGAAACAATTGTTTTGGAATGGGCGTTTGGATAATTAATCGCCCTCACTACCATGGAAGCAAATGGCGCCAAACTAATCTGCTTGCAACCGTGAAAACGTGGATCGGCTATTATCAGTACAGTGTCAACACTTATTGTCAAAGCTTTCCCAAAAATCGGTGCGTCACTTTATCAAAGCCTCAAAAACTGTTTTCAAAACATGTCAAAAGAACGTAGAAAAATACCTACTTCATCACATTTGAACTTACCGGTCTCCAGCTATTTAAAATACGCACAGCCTGGAATACAAAACTGTGGGATAACGTGTACGTCAGTAGGGAGCAAGTTACAACCTGACCCGGTGGTTGTGAATTATATTCGTGCAAGCCAATCGGAGGGACAGTGTTACTTTCATTTGCGCGAAATCCCTGTTTTATGATCTATTTGTTTGACTGCTGAAAGAGATCATTTGCAAGATTCTGCCACTATTTAACAATTGAATGTGAGGTGCAAATCAAATTTTCCTTTGTTTTCCGGTCAGCTGTTCACTAGGACCAAATGTTCAGGCAAACGTATGAATTAACCGGTAGTTTCCGTCCCATTTTTATCCTGCACTTCTTATTTAATAATGGTCAGCTCGGTGGGAGTAAACTGGCCCCAGTGCATGAATAACGGATGCCGCTCTTTATCTCGGGCCATTGCTTGGATTTTCAAACATCGTTGGATCATTAATCCACGGAACAGAAGGTTTATTCTCCCTTCGTCCGCATTACTGTCCATACTCAAATGGTTTCAGTGTACATTCATAAAATTGTATAAACGAACGAACGCGGAACTTCAAATCACTGTTGTTTCGACAAAGCGCACACTGTTTCACTTAATAAAATGTGCTGCGGAAAGAATAATAACCCCAATAATGGGATAGTTCTTGTGAGTCTCTCAGCTCCATGAATGAACCAGTGTGGCTACGTTACCGGTAGTCTGTTCAACCAGTCCGTACATTGGAACGAATAATATTTCTAGTGTTCCCAGTCCTGCTCTTCACTCATCGATCACAACCACTGCAATTCCCCTGTGTTTAAATGAATGTAGCGGCCATATCTCTCATGTCCTTCACACAGCTGTGTTGTGTTCCGGAAGGATCCATTTGTCTACAGGTCGAAATGAATTATATTGCCTAGCGCTACACGAATTTAGTGTGCTGTACTGCAAACAACAACAGCTACTACTACCAGTGTTTCCAAACAACTTTGTTTTGGTGTAACATGCCTTGAAAGAAGGATGAACAATCGGCATCCATTTTGTGAGGCACTCAGAAACCGAATACTGCCGACTGCTGCTATGTTTTACGTGCCTGCGGTGGTTCGATTCAATGGTGTTAGGATTGACACGGCACACCGCCTGTTTGCGCCCTCATTCCCCGAAAAATGGGAGCTAAAAATCGATGAGTGGTTCAGAAAGGAAATTTTTGGTGAATGCACATTTACGGTTCACCTAATCTTGTAGACAGCCAGATTCATTTGTTCGCGGCAAGTGTATCAGAGACAAATTCAACGGATCTACATCCACCACAAATAACCCTTTCAGTTACTTTTCTAACGCATACCACCACCATCATGCATTATTCACACTGTAAAGACTACCTGGATCAAGTAATGTTGCACCAGCTACATTGTTCCTCCGATTCACGTAACGTCGGCATCACCTAATGCAGTAAACTCGTTTAGATATCTTTCTTTTTGGTTTACATAAAAATAGCAACCTAGCCAAATAATATGCCATGCATCTAAAAAACTCAATAGGCGCTCCGCTCAACAAATGAGCTCCCTAATGTACATAACTGGTGATCCATTGGCCCGCAGCACTCATAATAAGCATCCATGAATCGTATATGACGAGCTGTTGCTGCCGGTAAACAGTATGGCCCGAAAACCCTAGTGTTGAGGTAGATCTTTCGTATACCCGACATAGGAAGGCCTACCAACTAAACTCAATTATCTGCAATGAGTCAACTGCAGGCCGGCATCACTGCTAAGGCAAGACCAAAAACACACCGGCACAGCGATAAAAAGCCACCGTCTACAGTGAGTCGCATTGACCGCTTAGGTGAATATCATGTATTTCTAGCAGGCTAAATCATTTGCGAGTGTTCCAAACTTTTTTCCAGGCGCCTCACCAGATGAAGCCATCCGGACATCCGGAATAAAGAGCCATAACGTGCAAAGTTACACTATTCGAAAAGACTGCATTGAATTCAGTTGCAACAGTTAGTATCAGATTTCAAAAGAGCGGGGTGTTAATAACAGAATTACTCAAAAATGGGCACATTGGTGCGATTATACAAACCTGTTTAGGCAATGTTCTAAATGATTCTTGATTATATATTCAAGGTCACTACTTGCCTATTGCGCAGAACTCACTTAAAACGGAGATGCGTTGCGTAAGATCTATAGGAATCCGAAAATTTGACCGATGCGTTATTGATTTATTCCCAGTCTGAAATGGAATATCAGTCAGAAAGGATGAGTCTATAAAGCGTTCAGCTGTAGCACCCTTCCGGTGCCTAGCTGCCATGCCACCCGAAGGAAGCACGAGTATTTTCATGATGTTTTTGATTTTCCTTGAATATCTCATAATCGCTGTTTAATACATTTACTTACTCTCTTTGTACTCCCATCAGTGTCCAGGAAATTTAAACGATTGCAAAAATTGATTTTCTTCTGGCAATGCTACTACTACCCTGAATTCCCCACAGGTGAATCGTGTCAGTAGTGAGTTTTTCAGAAAGCCTAGACACCTAGAACACTTTAATTAAAACAGAAAATGACATGCACAACACTGCACAGCTGGTGGTAAGCTGTATTAAACATACACTCTTCACCAGGAATTCCAAACAGACCGTTCCAACACTGTTTTTCGTGTGAAGATGAGCTTTTTGTTCACCAGGGAATTCGACGTTCGGCTAACGTGTGGCACACTGGACCATTTCGGTACAGTACTTCAAGCATGCAAAAGTAGGTTCGTCATGTGTTTCAGTCGACCATACCCAGCCGGATCGTTCTGTCCTTCCTGATCGTTTCGTTCTGCAATGGCATTCCGTTCCACCAAAGGAGGAGAAAGTTTGATGGAAAATCTGTGGAAGGTGTACACACAAACCACTCAGACAACGTGCGGGCTATGTGTGGTTTACGCAGAGGAAACCCCGACAATTTTTACTTTCAATCTTCGTTGAGGGGCCTGAGGTGCATCAGTTAAATATCTGAGTTCGTACAACTAGACAAATGATCAAGCAAAACAGACCTGTTCATTAGCACATGTGTCTATATTCCGGGTTGCAATGTAGAATGTGTGCTACTGCATCATTATATTTAATGTGAAAGTTAAGTCTGGTAGTAAAGTGAGGAAGTGCAGGATAGTCCGGGTTTGAAGGAACGGCCGGAAAACAGTGACATTAGCATGCATCATAAACGGTGATATTTGGTTGCCGTGTGACGTTTACAACAAGGTCACAGTGAGTGAAACGAACAAACAAGTACCAGTCCAACTCCCCGTTTTTAGGTGGCTTGACAGGTAAGGTGTATTTTTCAGAACACCGTCTAATCAGTTCACCTAGATGCCCTCGGTTTTTGCTGGCTGCATTTTTCTCGGCATTACAAAATAAACCGCGACCTTGTAAAACCAACTCGAAGATTGCATCACCAACAACGGAAATAGGAAAACTGAGATTCTGAAGATGTAAGAGGGCACTTGGTGGACACTTTGGCACGTACGATGATACCGTAAGCCAGAAACCTAACATCTGTTCCATCCTTGTCACCAACTAATGTAGACCAACCAAACTGCTGTTCCGTTGCAAAAGAAGCATTGTTCACAATCCCAATTCTTCGAAGACGTTATTTCTAAAGCCTCAGAGGAAATCAGCACCATTTTAAATAATACGGCTCTCATAAATATTTATACATATCAAAACGCTTTGAGTTGAAAATGATGAAAATGGAAATATGGAAAGAAGCAACCAGGTATTTCATTTGAGAGGTAATTAAAACGAAGGGTAGAAGGGAAATTTTGTTGAAACGCATGCAACATCGAAAAAAGTTTGTCTATCACAGTAATCTGAAAAATACAGAAATGATTGGTCTATCCCTGCGAGGGATTCCGGCTGTACCAGACCGATCATCAGCGGAGACAAATTGTGAACAAGTGTAGTTGAATCAGACAACTCCTTTACTTATTTAATACTAGCTCATAAAACAGAATCTGCTGCCGGAATATACATTGTGGTTGTATTGGGAAGGAGGCGCATTCCCAAACCGGGCGTATCGATTGTGTCCATATTGCGTTGTAAATGTATGCGGCTAGTAGGGAGTAGAGGGCTCGGCATTGTCCGATGTAACTGAAACTGCGTTGCTTGTCCTCCATTCTCAGCGGAACTACATCCATCGGGACTGAATTGTGGTTGATATACTTTGTGGTTAGCCGACTGGGATTCGGAGTTACAGTGCTCGTCTGCACCAAAGCTTGTCCTTTGCTCTTGATCGAACCAAACCGGGTCGTGGTTGGTGAACAGTACAGGATTTTCGTGTGACAAATATCCGGAGATTGGTCCGTTTGCAAAGAAATGGGTTTCCGTGTGGCCATGTTCAAGGATGTGGGTGGAAGCCAAATCGTTATTGGGGTTCATGTTTAATCTGGCTAGAGGGACAGCTGAGTTATTTGGGACTGAGTATGAGGAGGGGAATTGAAGTGTATTACCAAAGATAAAGTTGCACTGCCAATAGGAGAGCTGTTGGAAACAGTCCTTAAAACTTGGCCGTTGTTCAGGTTTTTCATGCCAGCAGCTTGCCATTAGCGAGTAAACGGGCGGATGACAATTATTTGGGCAGGATAACAGTTGTTTCGTCTGGATTAAATCTAAAACTTCTAAATCGGAGTAGTTTGAATACGGGCGCATTCCACCAGACCATACCTCCCAGTTCAATACTCCGTATGCCCAAATGTCCGACTCCACAGTGAACTTGCCATATATGATAGAATCCAGGGGCATCCAGCGGATTGGCAACATCAAGCTCTGTGGATGTAGGCGGTAGTAATCCCCAGCGTAACAGTCTCGGGCCAGACCTAGATCTGTAATTTTACAGTATAGCTGATCATTTAGAATGAGGACATTTCTGGCGGCCAAATCCCGGTGAACAAAGCGATGACTAGACAGGTAATCCATACCCGAGGCAACCTGAGACAAAACATGCAACTTCTCTGCGTCTGTTAACGGTGAGCTGAATGAATGCGTTCCTTCGGCACCAGTCATACCGGATGCAGCACGACGGATAGCCATCAGTTCGCAAAGGTCCATATACTGGCTGACTTCGAAGATCATACACCACGGTGGGTGCTGGCGACTCACACCATACAAGCTAAGGATGTTAGGATGGTCGAGTTCGGAAATCAACTCGGCTTCTCTTTGAAAGTCTGCCTGTAACGACGCCGGACAGCCAGCTGACAAGGTTTTCACAATCACCGACACAGATACACCATTCTCGTAGGCATTGTGGGGCAAGAGTTCTGCTTTATATACCGGTCCGAAAACGCCTTGGCCAAATTGCTTACCAAATCTGCAAATGAAGTGAGAATGCATAGACAGGTTGGGAGAGATGGCTTAAATTCATTTGACGATAGAATCTGTAACTACTGATGGTAATAATAATGATAACAGTGACAGATCACTTCTGACACCCTTTCGGAACGTAGTCGCCTTTCTAAACGAAGCAGACACGGGGTTGGGCTACTGTCAGTCTAATCAAACTTAGACTGAGGGAACCGGAAACCCATGCCTGGGTTCGAACCATGAACTTTCGTCCGGTATTTTCTCGCCTTAGTTTAGTGCTTAAACAAACTTGCGCCCATGCTAATTATCTGGAAGTCGGTACTCTATTAGTTAAAATTGCATCCTCTATACCGCGCGGAAATAATGAGAGCAGCTCAAAGATCCCCTACAAAAATAATCACCTTAACTGAGAGATCGGGAATTCCACTGGTCCATTTTGTCGTTCTCCATTGGTACCGTCATATGTGAGCCTCTCCCCATTGGTATTATGGCCATTTTGCATGTTTGGGGAGGCTGGGAGTCGGACTATTTGGCATCCGGTGGAATTTGAATCACGCAGTGTTGTGTATGCCGTTGGGCTCTCCGTGCTTGGGTTGACCTCGAACGGACCTTGGGTGTTCGGTGTCAGTCCGCAGTCTAATGCGTCCGCAGAAGTGTGACCGAAGACTGGAAGGAGATGACTAACACCAGCGTGACTGCTGTTCACGCTCAGGCTATGCGGAGTCGTCATAAATATGGTAGAGTTTGGCAACATTGTCGCGCTCGTCACACACATTAGCCTCGAGTCTGGCGGTGGCGGAGCTGGAGAATTGGGCGGAGGTAGAGGTGGGGGTGGGGCGAAATTCGGGGCTTGATACTGATGATAGGTGGCTATCGCACCGTTTTGAAGATGGGCTTGTTGTGGGGTTACAATCGTGCCACGGCTGTTCACATTTGGCAGTTCATTTACCAGGGCCAATTGACTATTGGGACCAGATGACAGACTGTTCTGTGCGTTGGAAACTGCAGTGCAGCCGTTTGCCAGATTAGTTGAAGAATCCGACTGAGTGAAAAGTGTATTGTTTCTCGGACTATATGCGACGGTGTACGTGTCGTCCGGGCAAACAAGAAGGGTGGCTTTCTTTGAACACTTGAGGTGCGCTCCCATTCCTGGAATTTTTCTTTTCTTTGTAGAATTATTCAATTCCTTCGGTGCACCTACCCCTTGTCCACGAAGTTGGTGCCCGTGGGAGCCTCGCCCACATGGGACTCCATTAAGTCTCCCGAAGCCTGAACTGTTCCTCGAACGACTGAACAAACTTGAACCATCAGCCTGCAGTCGAATTGAGTGGTCCCAATTCTTGCGACACAGGAAACAGAAAGCCAGTAGAGAAAATCCGACCAAAAACATAACACCAACAGAAATGAACAGTGGGACCAAGTCAGGACCGGTGGATGCTGATTTCAGTGATAGATTTAATTTCTTTTTTATCTGTGCAGGTTCATCGCCAAAATCATCTCGTTGTTGGGAGAAAAGTGGATTTTCCATCCCTTCGAGGGTATCAGCCACGCTCACCACTTGGGACCCTGGAATAATAAAAAACAGCGTATAGAAATGAATGCGTCTTCGGCCAAACGACTAAATTTGATGAAAGTGTAAAAAATTTACTCTAGTATGCTACCAGAGAGCCAGTTAAGAAAATTTCTTCACTTTTTTGTCTAAGTATACACTAACCTCATGAAATTTTGCCGGTACTCCACCGTATAAACTGAGAGTAAATGGCTAATTGTTGGTGGATGGTTCCGATAATGTAGTAAGATGGAAAATTCTCGAAACTAAACCTCAAGGATGAGGATTAGTCCAGCTTGTTCTTGTGATCATTGGGTTATTGGGTATCCCGTTAAATAACAATTAAATAATATTTCTTCCAGTCTTCTGTGCTCTAGGTTGCATCCCACTATGTGTGCTTGCAGCGTTCATATTTATGCCACTGTCTCGTTTTTCGTTAGGCAGCAGATTTCTTGAATTTTCGTCCTAAATACTAAAAATGACTAAGGAGAATAATTCTGAAGATTCATAATCGTTGGACTGATTGACAAATGCAGATAACATAGATATTATATGAGTGTTTCTTACTGCCCATTTGGTTGTTACGATACACTACTGTAAACAAGTGGAACAAGAATAGTTGTACGATTTTTTTACCTTCAATTGCATCGGGGACGGGCCGACTGATCGAGCGACATGTATTGGGTCGATCTGGGTCGTAGATGGGTAGACGATCACAGTCCATTATCATACTCGGTACTGAAGGAGACGAAGACAATGATTCTACTGAATATTTAATAGAAATATGAGATAAGGCGTCGCGAATTGCAAACTACATTTAAGTGGGTGATAATATCTGTACCGATTAGATCACGGAAACACTCCAGGAGAATACGCGTTAAATTTCAGGCCACACCTTACAGGATGGACTTTCTAACTTTCAGCATCCTCCTTAAAATTGGTACGCGTAAGACATGATAAGACATGAGTATATATTCGTAGTGCAATAGTTCAACAAATAGCAAATCAATGTGGATCTTACCATCATGTAGTAGGCTTCGTTCGAGATATTTATAGGTTGAGCTACACTCATGTTGCATCGTAGAGTAACAGTCTTGTCGACAGAGCGCTAGCGGTTGATAAGACGTAAAAGGATTCTGTCCCGTGTGATGTGTGTCATCAGCAATACCCTTGCCAGTATTCTTATCCAAGATAGGAAGACATACAGGAAAGTTGTAGTAGCATGTGATCTCCATCAGAGCACGTAGACAGTCCTCGCGAATGTGATGAAGTGGCTGAGCGGCAGCCAGTTTCAAAACTGCAGAAAAAGGAACAGTGATCCAATAAGAAATCACCATAACAACAAATTATAAAATGAAATGGTAAAATAAAAAATTAAAATAAAATGACATACAAAATGAAAATAAGCCTCGTCAATAGCCTAAAGTCTTTAGAGTGAATTAATGAGTGAGTGAGTGATACATTACCATTTACACTTAAACTTTAGTGCAAATCGTCCAATGATGTAGGTTTACTCAGAAGTTTCATCACGCATCTTGTGAAAGATGAACAGGCAAGTACTGGCGGTTAAGCAGGTACCACACAATTCTGCTTCTCCAATATGCTGCGGAAGTTGACTAACTTAATATAGAAATTATTCTAGCCAGGACCGCTATATGTGGAAAGTAGCAGACGTTTCAGAAAGTCCAGTACTTTAATTACAACGATTGTTATTGTTACGAACTTTCCTAGAATCACTTGCATACACCTATTAAATCACAGGAAACCAAATTAAAATGAAAAGTTTCCGAGGATTCTTCAATGAGTCTTTTAGCATTTTTGTGCACGGAAGTTTTTATTTGCGGGAATGAAAGTTGCCCTATGTAACCAATCAGCTTTAAGTGGAGCACTATAATGGGGGCGGCATCAGAACTCTGATTTCCTGACTATGATGCCAGGGGGTTAATGATCCGACCCACTCAACCTTATCATCCAAAGTTTTACTTGAACATACGGGATTCCACAGGTTCACATCTTAGAAATATCTTGCTCCTAAGAATTTCGGAGATGTTAATTTTCACCTTCGGAAATTCCTGATGAGACCAACAATAAACAAACGTCTCCTAATGGGTAAAATCGTATCCCCTTCTTTACGTTAGAGTTAACATTGGAGGCAACAACAGACTTTTGCATTTGAGAGCCCGGAAAATCCTCTTTGACCTTGAGGATATTAAATCCTCTTGAGTAGACTTAAACATTTCCTTTTCGTTTCTCAAACTCAGACGCACGTTTGTTTTCATGTGGGAGCTAACAGAGTGGGCTTTCATCGCCTAATTTGGGGTGTCCTGATATTTCACACCATGTTTCGACAACAATACTGATAGTGTACTGATTCTATAGATTAAAGAAAGGCACAGAAGGGCTAATCTAACGATATTTTACTCATTTTACTTAACCTAAGCTGACCAATAATGACACAACCGGGTCATTTTTTTCATTATGCGTGTGCGGTGCAGCTCTAAACCAGGACGTGATTGTTCAGGTGATTGCTATTGTCCCACTCCCGTGGCCCTCACATCGCATTAATATGCGGACAAAAGCAGAAACCGTTGATCGCCGCAATTCTGAGAGATCATATTCTACGTCAATTACAGGTAGTCAGTTGTTGACGCACCGCGCGGCTTGCTGGCGCGCACACGAGATTCCGGTCGCTCTGGTTTCGTTGTTAGCCCGTGCCCATGGGTGTGACTCATCTGCAAAGCACGGTCACACACGAGACAACCATTGGACCAACGTAAACGGACTAAATGACTATCCACCACCCACCGCGTTTCCGGTCTCAGTTTTCACCCACCCTTTTGCCTTGTCCTGTCCACAGACAAAGCGATCATGCATCTGGGTCAGCTTAGTGGGCCACCTAATCACCCCTTGTTGAACAGGGTGGATGGGGATGTTTGTCCACATGTGGAAAATTTACGCAGACCGACTGATCGTTCGATGATTAGCCCCACATTTTCACCACCATCCCGAGGTGTGCGTGACACAGGTTTCGTGGTGTGTGACCTGAAAATGGTGGACGTCAGAGTTAAAACCACTTGGGTCTGATAAACTGGCTTTTCGGGACTGAGCTCCTGGGTTGAGGAAGGCATTCGTTTTCGAATGTGGGTGGCGGATAAATCCCGAGGTATCAGAACTATGTCAGTACCACTGCAGCCAAGCAGTACTATGAAACTATACATGGCACTTTGTGCTCCTTCCAATCACAAAAAGGGCACATAACAGTGGACAAACAACAAACTGCTAGTACAAAACAGTAACCGTTGGCTTAAGAAGGGACAAAAATGTTATCCCTGTCCTCCAGTTTAGTCTTCGTGTGCCTGCCTTTCACAACAGCCACCGAAAGGAGCATATTTTCATAAACAAACCACATCCGTACCGGGTCCTTAGAACCTACAGAAGCAGTAGCAACCAGCAAATCGATTCCGAAGTGCATGTTTTTGAGTTCAGTGGTATAGGCTCCAGGTCATTTTTAGGTTAGATAGCTACCTGACGCATCCTGACAGAAATGCCCCTGAAATTTGATGTATTATTTGGTCAGTGCACAGAAAAAGCTTATCCCATTTGTCCATTAGTTAAGGATATAGTTCTTCTTCTCTGTACCATAACTTGGGCCTCCCACGAACGTTGGTAGCAACGAATCATACAACATTCTCCAACTGAAGCGAAATATCCATTCAGCCAATAACTACGTGCTTGTATATTGGAACGCGAAGTCCAGTAATCCAATAGCGGTAGCCGCAATTAACCTGCGTTACAAATTCCAATGGCATTTTTTCTCAATGACATTTTTCTCGTTCGCTAGGATTTGGACAGCAACTACCCTGTTTTTGCAGTTGGTGTCAGTAGTCACAGAGCCTCGTCAGAGAGGCTATCAGTGAGGGGATGTGTTACGATCCGTGCGTATTTCTAATCCACAGTTGTCCGTTGATCACAACAGCTGTTATGTTCATGGGGCCTCGGAACTCCGATGCAAAACTGAAGTACCCTGTCTGACTAAGGTATGAGTAGTGCAAATTCAACCTACAGTATCTGCACATGGTCACTACTCAGTAGCGCTGGATTCCGCTTGGAAAATGCGTAACGTTACTGCGCATCGAAATAAATAAATAATGCACATACTCACATTTTGAAATCTCTGTTTCGATGAGCGCTTGTTGATATTCTCGGGTAACATAAACACGATGGCCCATGAGGTATTTTCCGCAAACGTTACTGTGGAATTCCTGACAAAATCCGTCTGTTTCCGGGGAGGGCTCTCTGTAACAAAATGCATACAGGAACTAAATGCTTGTACGGTTGCTGTGGTTACGAATAGTTCATATGTGAAAGAATGATTTCAACCATGCAAAAGTTATTAGATTTTGATGATCATGACAACAGTAATTTTTCTGAACTTACCAGTTACTTGGATAAGTGACTCAAATTGTGGGAATCCGGTTTTACTTGATGAGAATGCTGAACTGTCATACGATACATGTGAATACGATAGTTCCTCTATTTCGGTACATCGTAGGAATTTGGAGATAATCGGTAATCTAGTGAACCCCTACATATTGTTCAGTTAGTCCTAGATAGCCAAAGAAAATTTTCTACTCAATCACTAAATTCTATGCAAGAATAGGTGATTCGTAGAGGAGTGTTGGTAAATAAAATTGATGCCAACACAAGATAAGGAGAGAGTCACCGACCTGGTAGAATTTTCTGAATCCAGCATGAAATGTCGTGCTACTTTTACCGATGGCTTACTCAATGTCATATCCAGCATGTTGTGCTACTTTTACAGATGGCTTACTCAATGTCATGCTTGTTGAGCGGCTAAACTATATCATCAAGCACTACAAAGCTTAGAAATGTCCGCGAAATGACTTACATGAAAGGAATCTTCGACAGGCGCCTAGTCAAAGAAGAGCTAAGTACAAGCTAAGTTACTTCCAGATGAACGTTTCTGGGCGGTATATTTAAAGTTTAGCTCCGACATACTTTGGTAGACTGTCGATAGGGCCTAAGGTGGGGTTCCCAGTTTATGAGGTCAGAATTTCCTGCAGGTATCAAGGAAACAGCCCAGTTTCCCCACACTGGAAACAAACGTTCCCCGGAAATCATCTGGTTAAATCTCTAGCCTTCTGATTAGAGGCAAAGCACCAAAAGTAGGAGTACTGACTGCACAAGGATATTGGAAAGTTTTCAACTCAGCTTTTGTTTCGTAAGCAAATTCAGAGATTGCGGAAAAGTCGAGAAACACACCGAATGTGTCTCATTCTCGTTGGGAAGCGTCATCAGCTCGCATCTCACCACCCCGCGAGCCGCCGGCTAGACTAAACCATCCGATGACAAGCGGCTACCCTGTAGCTTCATTAACTCGCTACTGGTGACCACACGGTGCTGTCCATCGATCATCCGTGGAATGACGAGTGGTTTTAAATCCTGTTCATTTGCAAGCTGATCACATTGCTGAAGAGTCTCATAACTGAACGGTTTAGGATTTAAACACTAGTTCTCCGCGTTCGGGAGATTCATGGGATGCTAGCTGTCGATTATTTTTAACAAGCATGTTCACACTCTACCAAACTTAGTGTATGCTAATTGATCCAGAGGGCGTACGTCTCCGCTGGATTTAATTAAGACTCATTTAATCAACTAACTGATCTACGTTGAGTCACTAAAAAAACAAGGATGGTGGAGTTTGGAAAATCGAAAGTTTTTTCGGATAGAAAATGGAAACTCAAGTCTAAAATTATGACTAAAATGCAGCATGGTGTAGTATGATATCTGTAGAACAAGGAGTGCTCATATAAATTGACTTACGCCAAGGCTTCATCTACCAACCCGGGTTTCGGATTCTTAACTGATTTCACTGTTGAATAAATAAAGAAAATATTGTATGCTCTATGGGAAACAGCTGATACGGGTAGCGTTATATGATGCAGGTCTACAGAGCTGTCACCACTCACAACATTTGAAAAGAACCAATCCGGTCTAATATCAATGATTTCGCAAATGCCATCAATCGTGTCGCCATATCGTGATATGGTTGCAAGAGTTTAATAACATACGTATTATTATTAATACAATAATATTTGTTAGTCCAGATAAGATACAATGCCTTTTGTACCGCTTTTGGGATATCGATTTCCAATGTGGTTGGTGAGCGTTGCCGGCTGAAATGAAAGACTGCTCACTTGGGCTGATAAGAAACCTTCCTTTCTGGTGTTTTGATAGCGGTCATGAAAGGTGTATGAGCTCCTGTACATATGAGGAAAGGCATCCTCAACGAAGCCGGAAATAAGGAAACTTAGTTGCAATACAGAATCACCTTTTAGTAGTTCTTGAATTTTTGGTTGAGGCATTTGTCATAACTGTCGTATTCTTCTTCGGAATTCGTTGTCCTTAGATCGACTAGAAAATCTAAACCTCTCCGTGAAACAATTAAAGATCATAACTTTTTGGTAGCAACGAACAGTGAGTAATCACGCACTCAAGAAACCCGCTTGCGGCATCTGTCTTTCACCCTGTATAGAATCTTGGGTTGATTCTACGTTTTCAAGTCATGTGTTAGATGTGTTGATTTATGTTGGAGACCATCTGCTACCCGAAACCCAGGGTAGAACGTTGCTTCCTGTTTGTATAATCGACAGAGTTTTTGTGGGCACCGGTATATCTGTATTCAATCGCAAATTAGCAACAAATTTCGTCACGATCCCCTGAAAGCTAATGACCTCGTGGTTCACACAACGATAGACTTACTCTTTTCCGTAACTCGGAGGTATGCAGTAGCGTTCACCGTTCCCGATGGATTGGTGGCCACACAAATATAGGTCCCTTCGTCAGATTTTTTTATCTGTTCCACGCGTAGTCTAAGATGGGAGAAGTCGGTAAGCATGAGGAGTAAGCTCTGCAACCAAACTTGTCTGCTCAAAGAGGCATGAAACATGGCAAGAAACCAAGTGGGAGACCGCCTTATTTCGCTACATTTTGAATTGTTGATAATCAGCTCCCAAGAATTTTAGAGAGTAAACAATGTATCGGCAGCTGACGATAATGCTAGCGTTTACAGAGAACTAAAAAAATAAAAATGTGATGAAAAATTCGGCTTCAGGGTATTTTGTCCTCTCCTTGGCATAGATGTTTTTACAGACCATTTATGTACCAGTTTCGAAAAAACGTCCGTGTAGTGTGGACTCAGCTTTTACACAATCGAAATAAACTCTTGTGAGGTACTTGGGGGGCTCATAATATACAGGGTATTATACGTTGTTCGCGTTTTACGTGATGCCTACGGCATGGTAGTACGATATATTGCATGTAATGTAAGCCACTACCATCGTATGCGACCGTTTTGCACGCCAGAGTACGAAGTGCACCAATAAGGGCCGACGTCGACAACCTTGGTGCCACAGTATTTTGTAGTACCCTCAGAAAAAGTTTCACCTTGAAATAACTCAAACCAGGCTAGCTAAAATGCCACAGATAAATTTAAATGGTATTTACGTAAAGGCCGATAGACTAACAGAAGATATAAAACTATATTGGGTGATAAAACTAGACAGACCGTACTTTGTGTGATATTCAGCATGCAAACCTAGTTTGCGAATTCTAAAGCAGGTGTTACTCAGCTTCAGAGAGGGAGAGGCACATTCGAGTTACCAGTCTTGTAAGTCGTCACACAAGTGAACTATAAACAGCTTAGCCTTTTTCAGTTGAGACCTGTTTACCCAGAGTGACCCCAGATACGAAAATGAGTTGCAACCGGTCTATTACATGTACATGCAAACACACACATGGAGACGAAATAGATCACCCCTACTTCTACTGACAACTCTTCGACAGAATCATGAATAGTACATTACGTCTCGACGATGTATTGCGATATCTCGAATATCGTACCATCTGAAGCATGTGGCGGCATGATGCAGCACATTCAGTTAATTAAAAGCACCATAAACGAGAGATTAAGCTGGATTACGGGTGCATCTCACGTAAAACTGAATTGGTTTGCAAACGAGTGTATTTCACTAGTTTTGTGCAATTTGGGTTTAAGCAGAACATAGGATTGATGCAAATTCGGGGACTGCGCCCACATGATGATCCCCGAAAAGGGCAAAACCGGTTGTGGGCTGTCCAAGAGTTTTCAGCAACCGTATGAGTAGCGTGTTACGATCTCATACTTGTTTGTGCAGTCACATCGCAACATTAACACAAATAATTACAGATGTTGTTATTCTTAGCGCAGTAATATGAATAATGTTCTTGGATCGACTACTTTCTTTGATTAGGAGCTACGTATATGTCGAATGCGACATTGCTACTAACGCGTGGCGCGTTAAAACCTTGAGATATGGTAAGGAGGCTGAACATCGCACAAAGAAACGTTTTTTAGAAACAAAAAAGAGTGACCAGGAGTAAGTGCTCAAACCCAGACACAGCTATCTGGTCTTGTACCTAGTCTGCGTCCAAATAAAGAGGTGAAAAGTCAGAATCCAACAATGCTGTCTGGTTTTGAACGCGAGAATTGGAATTCGGAACATGTGCGACAAAACTAATTCAGCTTCGATAAGATTATCACCAGAGAGTTAATAAAAACGCTGAGTGAAACGAATGCTTGATGATAGTGTTGTGCGTTAAAAGCGGTTGGGTTTGAGGGGATAGCCAAACCCGTACCCTGTATCTATCGACTAGTATAAATGGGTCTTAGAGACGGGAGAGGAACTAAATACTGGTAATCGCTTTGATATTATTCCCTCTCCTTCGTTTTAATGTCGGTTAGCTTTAGGCAACCTAACTGCAGATTGAATCTAAAAAATCTAAGGATTTTGTGGACTCTAGGCAGCTCGGGTTTTCTGCTTGATTGTTGGTCTGTTCCTTGAGCTTGGACGCTGTAATGCAGATGTTTCATCATCAATCCAGATGATGTTGTCAGTACGTGGTGGAGAGTTTACTTCCTCATTTCTGAAACAGCATGTGTATAGGTTATCAGGGTAGGAGCCGGCAACTAATTTCTAGGTGCCTAGTGTGTTTTGGACCTGCGCCAACGAAATAGAGCTATTCAAAGCATAAGGTGAATGTGCTCAACAAGGGCAATAACACAAAAGCATTCTTTTTGGTTTGCTTTGATATTGACAGTAAATAATTACTTAGAAACTCCAAGCTGAATTCGACAATTGATTAGTGGATTTATATAACCAGAGTCAATCAGTGAATCGAACCAAAAAAAACACGGCACTCTACCAGATAATGAATTGGCCTAGATAAGTCAGCTACCCCATGCAAGCCTGGAAAATTCCAGTTGATTCATTCGGGCATTCAAGCTTTGAACTTCCCCGAATACGTGAAATAAATAAACTAGAACGACGGAAGACAGTGTTGTTGTTGCTTTTTTGTTACTTCTGCAACACGACGCCGGCAGTGTCCGACGAAATGTTACGAGCGTTTGTCTTGCTAATTTATTTGATGTGTGTCAGTGTTATGATGGATAAGCTGTCACAACAATACATTCTGGACAGGATAGCGTCTAAGCTATCGGAGATTAGTCGGTCAGGATTGATTACCTTCCTGCACCAACGAGGTTTGAAAGTTTACCAGCGAAGAAAAAAACAGGTGTGGCCTGGATGAGAGTCCTATTGGGAATCATTTGAAGGCCATAACCTGTCCCATTTCACCAGTCCTCATTTGTCCTGCTTCAACATCAATTAGATTTGTCAATATAAACTCAAGTGCTTGTGGTAAGGCTTCTATGAAACTCAGTTTATATGTTATATACCTTAAACAACAGACAGTTGAAGATGGAAAACTGCATACGATGTACGAATAGTCTCACATGAAAGTAGCTATATCTAACTCTCTACATCTTTCTTAGTTTACACACTTATTATTCGTGACGTATTTATGACGCTTACCAACAGCTGGCACGCAAGGACCGACACCATGTTGAAACTAGGAACCAAACTGACAACGAGTAGGCTGTTTTTCCAGCTAATCAGCCGGCTGATTAAGATCAGTCTCCCTTTAACCATACAATGTCCAAGGTCTTTGTTTGTTTTTGTCAAGATGAAGGGAACTGTTAAATTCGCTAATAACTGTGGTCACGTAAATCGATGCAGTTTAGCGGACTTCCTTTCACAAACTTAGTCGTTCGCACAAATCACAGCCGTCACCGGGCAAGTACGTGGCAGCCCAGACTCACCACAAACACACAACTATATATTTCACGTAAAGTGGCAGTCAGCCAACGAAAGTCTCGCAAGGCTAGCCCAGGGAAAACTGACCAAACATAACAAACTGATTTATTTGACTGTTGTGCGCTTCGGTGGGAACTGCAACTTCAACATCCCACTGGATTTCTCCCTCCACCGAACCAGCTTGGAATCTGAAAAGCAAACTTGTTCATCTCCACTAGCTCGAGTAGGTGTGCATGTGAACCCGACGTATCTAACCCAGGGCAATTTTGCCCATGTAAAAAACAAAAAAGCGATTCAAACAGCACACTCATGGCACACGTTTCAACAATCCTAGTTAACTGACGACGTCGTAATTATCCTGCGATTTTCAGTTCACTGAACCGAATCGAAGCAAACAAGGTAAACCGATGTGTTAATGGAAATGCATGTGTGTGTACGCACAGAAACTTGGGTAGAAAACTTACGAACTTCCCCAAAGGCCAGTTTCGATTCGGATTCGATTAGCATTCTCGGACAATTGCTGTCCGTTTTTGTACCAGTAGAATTGTGGAATAGGTTGGCCAAGGATGTCGCAATAGAAGATGGCTTTTGTACCAATAGATCGAGTCAAATTTCGCATGTATTGCTCAAGGTTTATGTAAGCTAAAAAGATGAATGAAGCCCGCGTGTGTTCAGAATACTTTCAATTATATGAGAAGCTGACAAGAACAAGATAATCAGTAGAAGTATTTTATCGGGAATACGGTCTTTCAGGACATCAGCACAATGTGATGATGAATGCTGGAAAGATCGTTGTTCTAACTGGCTGAACGGTAGAGGCCAGTGGTTTTCAGGAGTGGAGTCACTAAATACAGAGGGACTATTATGTTAAGGAAACGTGTCCGTTGTGTGTGACACAATACATCGGACAGGGCTCACTAACCTGGACAGACATGCGTGGGTATTATTTCACGCGAATGCCTTGTAATCTTCAGTGTTTAAAAATGGTTGCCCCCCCCCCCCCCTGGACTTTTGATGCAATAGTCCAAGTAACTATAAACAGTGGCAACATCTGTGCCTAAGGAGAAAACTGGATAAACTAACATGTCGTATGAGCCTAGTGGATTGCTGTGAGAAGGTGGATAAATGACACGTCACAAAGATATCTTTCTACTTCATTTGTTGATAAGGAAAGATGTGTACGTATTTTCCAAGATGTAGCCAATTTAAGGGTTTCTATGCAAGGGTTCAACCCGGGACAGTTGAATCAGAAGCAGGCAATGTTAGCCACTTAGCATTTGAACTCTGAATTCCACCGACATATCTCAGTTAGACCAATGAGCCACTGTGAGTTGTAAGTTAACTTCAGGATGAATCTAAAATATCACTTAGCTGGGTCTATCAGTTTTTGCAAAGTTCCAAACCTGGTGTCGTTAAAGGGTCATTGGATGCCATGGATTTCGAAGTCATATTCTGTCATCTTACAAAGCGCACTTTCTTGGTGAAGGACGAGATAACCCCGTCTCATTGGCTTATTAAAAGATGGTTTCACGGACAGTTGATTTATGTGGGTCCATTTCGTCCGCGAATGATGTATCCTCCTGCAGCACTATACAGTTGATTTTGACAGGAAATCCAGCCGCCATACGATCAAGAGAGGTTAACATCAGAATTAACTACGATCAACTTACTTTTTATTCTTGATTCTTGTTTATCCAAGTAAAGCATCCTAAAACAGTGACAAAATATGGGGTAAAATATCTGTAAGTTCTCGAAGTTGTGGACAGCTTTGGAACTGTCATTTCCTAATGTGAAAGAGGTGAAAGGTTCACTGAGGCAAGCACACAGTTTTGGGATGTCACTGCTAACGAAGAATCGGAATTCACACGCAGAAATCCCCTAAGTGCCTGGGAAATCAGCAGGCTATTAGCTTCCATTAGCACTGTCATACATGCTGCTGAGTGCTGCAACAGTGCGCCCTCTAAATCTGGATGCCTGAAAGCTGACTGTTAACCTAATAAGTATGTTTCAAATTGACGTGACCATCCCTTTCGGGAAACAGCTGTTACGAACGGTCACATGGAATCCAAGATATAATAAATGGTTTGGACATCTGCAATCGCCAGTATAAAACGAAAATACTTGAAACTGTTTGCGGGAACTTGCTTCGGCTGCGTGCAATACTGGTATGAGCATAAAAAATTTATTCTAACCTTCCTAATCTAACTCTATTCAAGCTTCAATGGATTCTACGTTTTTAAATTTGTCTCATAACGCGATCACGCAAAAAAGGAGAGGAGGGAAAGTTATGATCGTCTTCAGATGTAGATGATCAAATGGACAGATATTTGCCTCTTCACGACAGTAAATTTTATCTGAAATTTATTTGGCAAAATATCAGTCCCATTCTTCTGGTTGGCCCATGGGCCGGTGTTTTAACCTTGCACCTAGCACTGCAGCCACTTTTATCTTAATTAAAAGTAAAATTGCTAATAAATAGGAATAAGTTTAGTTTTGTCTGGTATGCTGTACTTTAAACATCCATACTCTGTGGTCTATATGGACCGGTCAGATGAAATCTATCTATCTATCTA